TGGAAATGGTTAAAGCCGCCAAGCTGCAAGATGTTTTCAGCACTCCTGCAGATGGAGCTCAGCATAGATGCACCTGGTCACAGCCAGACGGGCCTGTCCACTCAAGGATAGATTCCCTGTTTGTGTTCCACGCGTTCTCAATCAGATCCACCGATGTCAAGCCAGTGCTCTTCTCTGACTGTTGATTGACTGTTACCTATAGGACGACCAGTAGGCCAGCAAGGAAATGTGGAAGCTGAACGTGAAACTGTTGACCCCAGAACACGTTGAGGAGCTCAACAGAGATTACACAGGTTGGAGAACCATTAAGCCCATATTTAAGTTTCCAATGGACAGGTGGGAAACAGTCAAAAGGAGCATTAAGAGGTAGTTTATCCTCAAAATTGTTCAGGAGGCAAGAGAGAGATGGGGAAAACTGTCTGAGCTCCAGAAAAGCATGCAGAATCTACTCCTGCTGCAGATGATGGGGGGGTCAATTGTCACGGAGGATCTCCAGGAAGTGAAGAGCCAGCAAGCCTTGCTGTTTGCCTCCGAGATTTCCAAGATAATCTTCCTGTCTAGGGCCCACATCGTGGAACAAGATAAGACGTGCTCGTGTTCCTTTTTTCAGAAGGTGCACAAAGAGAGCTCTGTGTGCTCAGCAGCCTGAAGGAAGAGGATAGCTCGGTAACATCATCTCAGGCTGACCTGGGGATTAGCAAATCCTTTTATGCTAGTCTACATAACATGAAGCACACAGACAACCCGGCCTCCCAGTTACTGTTCTCTATCACAGAAGTCTCAGACGACAGCACACAGAAGAGACTGGACCAGCCATTATCTCTGAATAAGCTGATCAAGACCCTCGAGTCCTTCGAAAAGAATAAAACTCCGGAAAGCAACAGTTTACCAGCTGAGTTATATTCAGCTCTGTGGGACTTGATTGGCCAGGACCTGCTGGAGGTGTACGGTGATATGCTTCTGGAGATAGCATGTGCAAATTCATGAGGAAAGGTATCATCACCCATATCTATAAGCAGAAGAAGGAGAAGGAGGAAATTAGAAATTGGCGACCAATTTCACTGCTGAATGCAGATTACAAAATACTGTCTAAGGTCATCAACAACTGGGTTAGGTCTGCTCTGGGGTCATGATTCACCCTGACCAGATCTATGCTGTACCGCGCAGGACGATCTCATAGAGCCTCTTGTTCTACAGGGATACGATTGTCTACATGAAGGACAAGAGGGGGATGGTGGATGTCTGCCTCATCAGCCTGGACCAGGAGAAGTCCTTTGACAGGACATTGCACACCTACATGTGGGAAGTGCCGTCCAAAATGGGCTTTGGGGAGAGAATCATGCAATTGGATCCGACTGTTCTATGTCAACATCATTAGTGCAGTCTCAGTCAATGGGTGGGAATCCGAAATTTTCCCGGTCAGATCCAGAGTTAGTCAGGGCTACCCACTCTCTCTGATCTTGTGTGCTGGTTGGATAAAGCCTTTTGCTGAGTCCAACAGGAAGGAGGCGAGCCGAAATAGGGGTGACTATTCCAGGCAGCAGTGACCTGCAGGTCAAATCATCCCTGTACATGGATAATGTCGCCTTTTCCTGCTCGGATCCACTGTCAGTGGACAGACTCGTGAGCATCTGTGACCAGTTTGAACTGGCTTCAAGAGCCAAAGTAAATCCTGTCAAAAGCAAGGCCATATTCTTTGCGAACTGGGCCGACTGATCCTTTATCCCTTTCACCGCCAGGACAGATTACCTGAAGGTGCTGGGAATATGGTTCAGAGGGGCTTGGGTGTGCACCAAAACTTGGGAGGAGCATATCGCTAAGGTAAGGCAGAGACTGGGCTTTTGGAAACACTGGTCCCTCTCCATTGTAGCTAAAAGCTACAAGTACCTCAGATATGAGGTACTCTCTGTTGTGTGTGGTGCAGGTCTGGCCCATTCCCAGAACTTGCACCGTTGCAGTCACTCGAGCCAGTTTTCAGCCCATCTAGCAGTCTAAGATAGACTGTGTCCACAGGGACACAGTATATGCCTGGATAAGGGGGGGAGTGGGGCGTGTGTGGAAGAACATACCAATGCCACCCTCATCCCGATGGCCCCCTTTGTGTGCGACTGCATCAAACTGCTTGTAAACCCTCGGTAAACAAACACCAAGCGTCACTATGCACTGGCGTTCTATCTGTCCCTGGTGTTGCAAAAGATGGCACTGGTTTCAGTGACGCAGAACACTCCACGTAGTTGGACCATTCCGTATCACCTGTTCTTGTGGAGAAATTTGCAAAGAAAAACACCTTTGACCACAAGTCCATGGGGAAGTGGTCAGCACATAATATCCTCAAGACCCTATGGAATAAGGAGAGGGTGGATCCTGTTGGGTTGTTCCCTGAGCAGACTGTCAAAGTTGTTTGGCAGAATGCCTCATCGCCAAAACTTTCCAACGAGCACCAGGGCATCATTTGCTGGTGGTGAGAAGGGCACTACCTGTGAGATCTTTCACGTACGCCCGGACTCTGCCCTGCCGCACGCTGCTCTCGAAGCAGCTGCAGGGCTTAGATGCTCTTGCACATCTCCTTCTGGAGTGTGCCTATGCAAAGTAAGTCTGAAGAACAACTCAGTGATTTTTGTCAAGGTTCTTCCCGAGCAGCCCCACGACGCAGGGCTCTGTGCTGTATAGTCTGTTCCATGGGTCACTCACCGAGACACACGTCGACTGCACCTGGACGATCATCAGCTTGGTGAAAGACGCTCTTTGGTCTGCCCAAAACTTGTTGGCCTTCCAGAGCAAGGAGTTGATCTCGACTGGGTGTTGTAGACTGGCACATTCTAAGGTCCAGGACTACATGCTTAGGGATGCAGTAAAGCTTGGCGCAGCTGTTGCCAAGGCAAATGGGGACACACCAGCATCCAAGGTCTTTCTGCCAAAATGAAATTGGGGGTGCATTCGGTTATCAGACCCCTCTGGTGCCTCAAATGTGTATAAATCTAGTCTTGTACAAGTAAGAAATGCCTTGGGTTTGTTTTGTTCTCCAGAATCGAACTGCTCTAGTGACTATGTACAATACAGATTTCTATGAATAAAGTATATTTTTGAAATAAAAGAAGTATGACATCGACAACATTCGTTGTCATTGAATGATCAATGACAAGTAACATTCACATTAATTAAGTTCCAGGTGATGATCATCTCAGCAACAAGAATGTCTCCTTAGCATTATTATTAGCTTCCCATCATCACAAGTGTTACCATTAACCAGAAACTTGACTGGATCATCTGCATAAATACTTTGATTCCAAGAACAGGTCAGGGGTTAGATATCGCTGATGTGAGTAATTCACTCCCTAACTCCTCAGCCATCTACAAAGTGCAGGTCAGCAATGTGAAGAAATACCCTCCACTTGCCTGCATGAGCACAGCTTTGACACCACCCTAGAAGCTCCACATCATGCAGGCAAAGCACCTGGTCAGCAATCTATCAACCATCTAAAATGTTCACTCCCTACCTTTCCAAAGCACTGTGGCACCAATCTATACTATAAACTAAAACTTGCCAAGAATGCTTCACTAGCACCCTTGAAACCCATGGCTCTGTCACCTACAAAGGCAAAGGAAGGAGGCTAATAGGAAAACCACTCCAAAGTGGCACACGAATCTATTATAGGAAATATCAGTCTTGCTTTTTCTTGTCTTCAGGTAAAAATTGTGGAATGCCTTCACAAACATTACTGTGGAAGTATCTCAACAAAAAGGAACTCTGCTTCAAGACGTCCTGTCATCACCATCTTATCAAGGCCTATTAAGAATGGGAGACAAATGCTGACCATGCCAATGATGCCAACATTCCATGAATGAATTTAAAATAGTTTTTAGTTTTTGCTGGTTTGTGACTTCCTGACCTACTGTTACAATTTTGTCTTGAAGTGTTTACTCTTTTTTTTCAAAATATCTTCGTAAGATCTCCATCTAGTTCCTGCTTTCAGGATTGAATGATCTAGCCTTTGAACATAACTCGGGCCTCTTTCACATCAGATGAGCTTTGATTTTTCCTTCTCTCTGCCTTCCATAGTAAGGGTTAGGGTGTCAATCTAATCCTCTATGACTAAACTCGGGCATAATCTGAACAAAACATTGCACAAGTTTAACACTCCCTCTAGGTTGTGCTGCACAGTTGGTAGTTCTGTTGGTTTTATGTAGCTGCTAGACATTCTAAGTTGTGAGTCTGCTAATACCCTCAAATCGCTTTTTTCAGATTTACTTCTAGCTATTCATAGATTCTATCTATCACCTAATTGTTCTTTCACATTTAATACTTTAGTTACTCGTGCTGAACTTCATTTCTCATAGCTTGGTCCTGTTATATATTGGATTCTTTACTTTGGCAACTTTTTGACCACTCTTGTCCCCAGTTATTAATCATCTGGAAATTACATCAGTTTGCATCAAGCAATAACTCTAGGTTGTTCATGTAAATTAAAAGGAGTACTAAAACAGATTTCTTCTTAGCCATTGTTGTAAAATTTGTCAATGTTCTACTGTTCACCTTTGTGTGTCCGTCTCCTTTCTCCTTGCAGGATTTGTGATTGGTTGATTGTGTTTTACTCCCTTTTAATACAATTAAGGTCATGCTTATTTAAATACACCTTGTATGAATCCCTCCACACTAATCCCTCGTTCTGGAGGGCTAACATAGTTTTTATATTCCTTCATATGTTACTTTGGTCCAAAGGCTCCCTGGTAACAAATTATGACTGTGACCTGTGGCCAAAATAATTATTAGAAGCAGTTTAACTTTTGAAGACTGCTAAACACTGGGTGTGACTCTGTAACCTTGATGTGATTTTTCAGCTTTAAACTGCAGGTCTACTTAGCACATTTATGGATTTACACAATAAGATAGACAGACATATTACAACAACACGGTGTTTGAGGCTTAAATTTAAAAAATATTGTAGTAATTGAGGAACTGTGGTACCCCATGCCCTTTTGAGACATTTAATTAATGCGAGATGTTTGTGCTACTTTATCTTACCATAGAACGATGGGCAAGAAAAGTAGAGTCAAAACACAGAAATCGGGAGGTGGAGCAACAGCAACTGTTTCTACAAAGGAAATAATGAATCTGATAACAGAATTACTACAAAGTAAGCATGCTTTGAATTGACTTAGAAATCTTATAGCACAATGTAAGTTTAGTTTTTCATCATAGGTGGTTTTAATTTATCCCTACGGTGGGTTGGGGGGGAGCGGTGGTTGGTGGGAAGGTTTAGCAGTTTGCTTTACGCCTTGCCTGAGGTGTGACAACAGGCTGCCTGTTCACTTTGACCTATTTTTCACCAGTATATAAAAGTTACAGTTCCTTGTCAGTTCGATTGTATTGTAGAAAAATTGTCTAGAAGTTAAGAATCATTGGCAAATGTAATCTTCTTTTTGAAAAGCTGTGCCAATAAGTTAATTTTCACAAATCAAAGGAAATTGTTGATTGAACTTCTGAGTACCAAACCTGGAAACATATATTTATATATTGAGAGCATGTCTTTAAATAAAGGAAATAAGGCGATGTCTTGGGTCAAGGAAATCTAAAGCAGGCCACCAAAGATCAGATCCAGCAAGAAAGAAGATATTGAAGGCAAAAAAAACTTAAGATTGAGGGATGAAGAGGATTATTTGCCTCTACATGGTCCATATCCCTCTACTCCTTGTCTACTCCTGTATCTGTTAAGATGCCTCTTAAACTTTTCAATTGAATCTGTCTCCACCACCTCCTCTGGCAGTACATTCAAGGCACTTTCCACCCTCTGTGTAAAAATAAACTTGCCTCAAATATCTCCTTTAAACGTTTCCCTTTTTTTAACCTTAAACCTATGTCCTGTAGTAATTGATATTATACTCTGGGAAAAAGACTGACTTTCCACGCCTCTCCTAGATTTGTAAACTTCTAGGTTGCTCGTCATCCTTCGATGTTCAAATGAAAACAAAACAAGTTTGTCCAATCTCTCCTCTTAGCTAATACCTCCCAAACCAAGCAACATCCTGGTAAATTGTTTCTGTACCGTCTTCAAAGCCTCCCACATCCTTCTGGTTGTGTGACGACCAGAACTGTACACAGAACTGTGGTCTAAATAAAGTTCTGTACACTTGCAAAATGACTTGGTCTGTGCCCTGACTAATGAAGACAAGTATGCCAAGTGCCTCCTTAACAACCTTATCTACTTGTGTTGCCACTTTCAGGGAATGTGGATTTGTATGCCTCAAGCCCAGTGTATTTTGATACTACTAGGTGTTCTGCCATACACTTCCCTCCTGCATTAGATCTTCCAAAATGCATCACATCACATTTGTCGAGCCAAATATCCAGTTTATCTAAATCCTACTGTATCCTCTGGAAATCCTCCTTGCTATCTACAGCCCACACAATCTTTGTGTTGTCTGCAAAATTACTAATCGGGCCACTTACATTCTCCTCCAAATCATTTATGTAGATTACAAAAAACAGGGGTTCCAGCACTGATCCCTGCAGAACACTACTGGTCACAGATCTCCAGTTAGAAAAACATCCTTACTCCACTACTTTCTCTCTTCTATGACAAGTCCAGTTCTGTATCCATCTTAACAGCTCAGCGTGGATCCTATATGATTTCACCTTTTGCATCAGCCAGCCATGAGGAACCTTGTCAAAGATGCTGAAGTCCATACAGACTCTGCGCTTTGCCCACATCAATCAACGTTTTCACTTCCTCAAAAAACTCAATCAAGTTTGTGAGACACGACCTTCCCAGCACAAAGCCATATTACCTGTTGCAAATAATCCACCTTTCCACAGGTGAGTAAATCTCATCCTTAAAAATCTTCTTTAATAATTTCTCTACCACTGATGTAAGGCCTGTAGTTTCCCAGATTATCCCTGTTGCCTTCCTTAAACAAAGGAAAGCGTTTGCTATTCTTAGTCCTCTGGAACCTCTCCAGTGACTAAAGAGAACACAAAGATTTTATACAAGGCCTCAACAATTTCCTCACCTGCCACCCTCAGCATTCTGGGATAGATCCCATCAGGTGCTAGGGACTTGTCTACCTTGATGTTTTCTAAAACACCCAATGCCGCCTTTTTTTAATGTTGACATGTGCCAGAATATCAATATTCTCCTCCCGCGACTAACCATTCACCATTTCCTTCTCATTAAGGACCTCACCAATTCCTTTGGCTCTACGCAGAAATTTCCTTCTTTGTCCTTGAGTAGACCTACCCTTCCCCTAGCTACCCTCTTGCTCCTTTAAATATGTACAAAACACCTGAGGATTTTCCTTAATTCTGTTTGCCAAGTACCTTTCATGGTCCCCTTTAGCCTTTGTAATTCTTTGTTTGAGTTCTTTCATGCTATCTTTGTATTCTTTGAGGGCTTTGTCTGTCTTCAGATTCCCAAACCTACCTTATGCGTCGTATTAAATACTATGCATTCAAGAACATTGGAACAAGAGTAGACCATTGAACCCATCGAGCCTGCCCCAGCATTCAGTGTGATCATGACTGACTCAAAACACTTTGTTGCCTTCTACACTCCCCCCTCCCCAATCAAGCCCCATAATAATGTACATTGCTGGACATTGGAAATCTATCAGTTTCTGTCTTAAACATACACAAAGACTGAACTCCCCAGCCGTCTGTGGCAGAGGATTCCAAAGGTTCACAACTCTCCAAATTGAAAAGAAGTTCTCATCTCTGATCTAAGTGTCATCCTCCTTATTTAGACTCCTCAATTTGGGGAAACATGTTACCTGTATCTATCTTATCTTCCTCTTTAAGTATGTTGTAGCTTCTTTTGCTACCCCAGTAACTAAGGCTGATCATAAGACGTTTTCAACTAGGCCAGTTTGAAGGGGACGCTTAATGCTGGCAACTGTGTATCCTGATCTCAACCTCTGATCATTTCAGCCCCAAAATAATTTCTGTTTTCTATGTTGGCTACTTGCTTGGTTTAGTTGGAAACTTCCATACCTGTTGACACTGAATTAAGGGTATATTTGTAATGTTGACGCAGACTAAAAGTGAATGGTTATTGAAAACAAGCACAGAGAATGGTGGAGAAACTCAGCAGCTCTGGGAGTATTTGTGGAGAGAGAAACAGAGTTAATGTTTCAAGTCTGGCATGACTTCTTCAGAATGGTTATTGAATCTGAACAGTCTAATTCACAGAAATGATAGAATGGAATATCTTTAACAGTAAGGAAGAAGAGACATCCCTCACTTCCAGGTAGATTAAAAGTGGACCACAATTAAAAGTAGGCTACAGTTAAAAGGCCAGATATCTAATTCATTGTCCACCTGAAGTGAAATATTATGGGTGCTTCAGCTTATCCTATGTGCTTGTAATACAATTTTTTTAAAAATTTCTTTTCAAGAATGTAGCAATCCTTCCACAGTACCTGGAAAGGAATGGGAAGAATACGTGCAGATCCGTGGCTTGGTTGAGAAAATTCGTAAAAAGCAGAAAGGTAAATATGATTGATTTCCACTTTTGCATGAATTATTTTCTCTCGCTTCACAAATAAACTCATTGATTGCTCGTTGTCATAGCTAGCCAGCAATAGAGGTAGCATAAAATTGAAAATGGTGTATACAAGTTAACATGACACACTGAAGGTTTAATTTACAGTGCTGCAGTCTTGAGGGTTTTTTTTGTATAGCATTCTGCTCTCCATTTTAGGCATGTCATCAGGAGTAAAGATAAAGTTGCCATAGTCTTTCAAGACTGTAGGGCTGTTCTGTCCATTAGACAGAGATGACTGGTGGTGGTTTAACCTGAGGGTGCCTCAAGTGAGGGGAGAGGCTGAGAAGGACAGTTCTTCATGGTAACCTCAGCCAGTGTGGGAATTGAACCCACGCTGTTGGCATCACTCTGCATTGTTTTTGGGAGTAATGCTAAAAGTAAGTCTGTGGTTTATCCTGAATTGAGGGCTAATCCTTCCAGGTAAACTGGATAGTTGCTGGTTGTAAATCTTGAAAAGGATTTTCTACCTACTTTTTGTTTAGGCTGTGGATCTTCTCCTAGGTAATTTTGGATCAAGCACCAGAATTCCTTGTCAATCGTAGAATTTATGACGGTGAGACTCCACTAAACACTCTTCTATAAGACATTAAGTAGACGTCCATTGGAGCATTGTGTACAGTTTTGGGTGCCATAGTTCAGTAAGGATGAGAGTACATTGGAGGGTATGCAGAAGGGGTTTACAAGAATGCTTCTAGGGATGAGGTACTTCACTTGTGAGGATAGATTGGGAAAACTGGGGACTGCTTTCCTTGGAAAGGAGAAGGGTAAGGGGAGATTTGATGACGTCACCAAAATCATGAGGGACCTGGACAAAATCAGTGGAAACCATTCCATTTGTAAAAGGTTCGAGAACCGGAGGGCACAAATTAAAGTGTTTTATAAAGAAGCAAATGAAACAATTGCTGGAAAGTGGAAAAATGTGGAAATAAATCTTTCTCACACAGCAAATAGTTAGGTTCTAAAATGTACTACCTGGAAATGTGTTGGAGATAGGTTCAACTGAACCTTTCAGGAGGGCATTAGATGAGTATTTGAACAGAAACAACATGCAAGGGTACGGGAAAAAGGTAGGATAATGGTACGATGTCACAATGCATATTTGAAGGGCTAGTGCAGACATCATGGGTCGAATGTCCTTTTTTCTGCACCGTATCAAATCTTTGTTAAAACTGTTGTATTATAAAACAATTTCTACAAAAATGATAGAAAATCTTCACTTCAAAGAATATGGTAATAAAACATTTGTAATTTTATAGCACTTGGTGTGGTGTGAAATTCAAACATTACAATTTATGAAATAGTCTGACACATGGAAACTTCATTTTGCTCAACTATTCTTTCTTGTTATTTATCCTCCATCTGAGCCTTAATCTGATGGTAGCTGCTATGTTCCCATTCACCTGTTATCTCCCTCTTAATCACTATCTAAACTTTTTCTTAAAACTTGGCATGGTCTCTCTTTCAATTGCCAATGCTTGTCCTAGTATTCTAGTTTCTCTTGCTCTTCTTTTCTAAAGTTTCTATATGTATCCTATCTCCGCCACTCACTCCCCCCACCCCGTGACTCTTCAATTATAGAAAAGAATGTATTTCCTTTCATTTCAGTTTAATTCCTTCACAATGATTTTTGATAATCAATGTACTCTGTTCTACTGTCAAGCAGTCCCATTTTTCAAGTCTTTCTTGGCATTTTTATGTCCTGCTACCAGTTTACTTCCTTGTTAATCCATGTTCGCTATTTAAAATACTTCCAAAACTTTGCAAACTGAGTGGCATGGCAGTTTTACTAAAGTACCCCTTTGACGCTCTCAACCTAATGTCTTGAATGCCTTTGACATTTTTGGCGCTATTAAAGGTTATGATCATTCAGCTTGTTTCAATGCAATATTTCTGGTCATTAGTTTGATTTTTTAAAAAAAATTACTTTAGATGCATCTTCATTGCACTGTTGTATGGTTTATATAGCACCATTTATATAACATTGTCACTAATTTCTAGATATACTGTCGGCTTGTCTACTGTTTCTGCACCTCATCTCCTTTGCATTTGGAATTACCACACTTTCTGTCCAAAACATGTACACCTCTTTTAAAACATTCTGACCAACACGTTGCGCCGTTCTGATGAATAAAGATTACTCTAACATTTTGATTGAGTTTTTTTTTTGTGTTACTCTTTTTGTGAATGTAATGCTACTCAGAACATTTTTTTTTCCTTTTTCTAATTATTCCTGTCTGTTTTAGTTCACTTGCTTTTCGGGCTGATGTTGTTCAATTTTTCACTCGATACACACTGAATTAATTTTATCCTTGGGAATAGGTGTAAGGCTTTTGAGCCTGCTCTGCCACCCAGTGTGACTACAGCTATTTTATGACCTCATTCCATGTTCCTGACTTTACCTCATACCCCTAGTACCTTTTTGGCATGCTATCCCCTTCCTCTAATGTCAATACCGATGTCGTTATTCTGCATGTCCAGCATTGGTGAGACCAACATTATATGTTTAAGGAGCCCATATTGCTCTTGACAAGTCTTTTTTTTTAATTCCTAAAGTAATTGTAAAGACTTTTTGGTTGACTTTGCTGTTTGCAAGTTTCATGTTGTACTTCCTTCTTGTAACTTTTTTTTATATATTTACCCACTATTTGTCATTCTCCCCACATCAAGGTCTGTACTCTTTTTTTGGTATGATTTGTTTTTTGCTGTATGCAATTTTCTTAACTCTGTTATCAAAATGGCTATTTTTTGTATTTTAAAAATATTATAATACTTTTATATTGCACTTTAATATATAATGTATCATATTAATTTGTTACCTTATCCCACCAATCTGTCATTTTATCCAAAACAGACTTGCCCAGTTTCCTGCAGTCTCTGTTTTAGCATATTGAATTCAGTCTTATTTAAATATAGAATTTCATCATTTTCATGTTTCTCTTTTTCAAGCACTACATTGACCTTGATCATATTGTGATTGCTATTAGATAATTTAACATTATTCCACTCAATCACAAAGCCAAATCTAAATCTAGAAATTACTGGCAGTGTTCTCCATGAGGTTTATTCTATTTAGTATTATCTGCAGAATTAAAAAGCTTATAATTGATTTCTTCATCTAAGCCTTATATGAATATAGGTTATAAAGGAGTTTAAATATTGTCTCCTGGGAATTTCATTCAACACCTCATTCCCTCCATCTGTCAGGAATGGTCTTAATTCAATTTCTTATCTAGTCTATGGTTTGTACATGATACAATAAAAATATCAATTCACAAATAGGATTTTGTGTTGGGGTATCAGAAAATTGAAATGCAACTATCACAGGGAGTTCCACCAATCTCTTTCTTTATATCATGCGAAAAGAAGTGGTGATGATTTGTTGAACGGGATTGTCCCCATTTAAGTTCCTGCTGGTTATTTCTAAAACACTTCTGAATATTCACAGGATCGTAGAACCCCTACAGTCCGGAATGAGGCCTTTCAGTCCATTGAGTCTGCACTGACCCTTCAAAGAGCATCCCACCCAGACCCAGCCCCCTACCTTAGCGCCATAACCCCGCATTTACCATGGCCAATCCACCTAATGTGCACATCTTTGGACTGTGGGAGGAAACCGAAGCATCCAGTGGAAACCCATGCAGATACGGGGAGAACATCCAAATTTATGAGGATAGGGTGGGTGTGGACCTATCACTTTCTTGATTTTTTTTTTCTGCCCATGATTGATGATATGATTTCTCACTCGGACATGTTCCATTATTAAAACTGTCAGTGTCATTATAACCAGTCATCTCCTTAAACCTGTCTGGAACGCAATCTAATTTTGATAGTTATATTTTATGTGGAACAAACAGTTAATGTATCAAGAAATCAAACATCTCTAAAGATGCATCCTTTCAGTACTTTTTGTACTTTAATACGCGCAGAATGAATTGGTATTTTCTGTCTTTGATCATTTGCAAGAAATATAAATGGTCAATTATAGTGGCTGTCCTTAATTAGCTTATTGCTTTATTAGTTACAATTCCAGTTTCCTCTGCACTAGTGTTTTACTGTTATGGCACTAAAAATGTGTTAGTATTGCTTTATCTCCCTTGTTTCTTGCTAGTGACCTCTCTGCATTCGTAATTTTTCTTAAGCTTGTTTGAGGAGCTTGTTGCTCTTGCCACTGCCCAAAATGCACTGTTCCTCTTTTGTCCTGTAAACTTTTTATAAATTGATTACTTAGCTTTCTTTTGATTTTTAGTTCATATCAGAACACTTTCAGGTTCAACCTCTGGTCTGAGTTGAGTTATTTAATTTCAACCAACAGAAGAATTAGAAGTGTTGGAGTTTGCCTACTGTGTCACTGGGCTGCAAAGTTGATAGAATAATTGGATCAGTGTCCTTGCACGGAACTGAATATACAATGAGGAACAGGATAGGTTCTGGTATGATGACACAAAAAAAAACAAAGTTGCTGGAAAAGCTCAGCAGGTCTGGCAGCATCTGTGAACAGAAATCAACGTTAACTTTTTGGATCCGTTGACCCTTCCTCCGAACCGGACACCAAAACGTTAACTTTGAATTCTCTTCACAGATGCTGCCAGATCTGCTGGACTTTACCAGCAACTTCTTTTTTTGTTTCTGATTTGCAGCATCCACAGTTCTTTCGGTTTTTATCTGATACAACGATGTTTGTTTGGATTTTCTCCTGACACTATCAAGGTTACAGCATTAAAAAATGGCCATTTGAGTTGTTATTAGCAGTTGGGAATTCAACAGAGCAGTTTAGGATAGAAGAAAAGAAAATGGATTGAGAAATGTACTGTAACTAAGAGGCACTATGCACACTGAGGGAGTAAGATAGGATTGTAAATAGTAAGAATGAAGTTTCAAGAAATTCACCAAGGTCATGACGTCCTCTACTTTCTGAAGCTCCAGATGTGAACAGTTCATACACTT